TGTAATGTAGTGAAGTGTAGTGGAAGGTAGTGTAGTGTAATGTAGTGTAGTGTAGTGGAGTGTAGTGTAGTGTAATGTAGTGTAGTGTAGTGTAATTTAGTGTAGTGGAGTGTAAATAGTGGAGTGTATTGTAGTGGAGTGTAGTTGTGTAGTTGTAGTTGTAGTTGTAGTGTAGTGGAGTGTAGTGTAATGTAGTGAAGTGTAGTGGAAGGTAGCGTAGTGTAGCGTAGTGTAGTGTAATGTAGTGTAGTGTAGTGTAATTTAGTGTGGTGTAATTTAGTGTAGTGGAGTGTAGTGGAGTGTAGTTGTGTAGTTGTAGTTGTAGTGTTGTGTAATGTAGTGTAGTGAAGTGTAGTGTAGTGTAGTGAAGCGACATCTGAACCTCCAAAAGTGGTCCAAACCCCTAGTGTTTTGAACATTTTGACTTGGAAATGTGCTTCGCGCCACAACGGCGTGCACTTTTTCGACATCTCAACCTCCAAAAGTGGGCCGAACCCCGAGTGTTTTGAACATTTTGACTTCGAAATGTGCTTCGCGCCACAACGGCGTGCACTTTTTCGACATCTCAACCTCCAAAAGTGGTCCGAACCCCTAGTGTTTTATAGATTTTGACTTGGAAATGTGCTTCGCGCCACAACGGCGTACACTTTTTCGACAACTCAACTGCCAAAAGTGGTCCGCACCCCGGGTGTTTTGTACAGTTTGACTTGGAAATGTGCTTCGCGCCACAACGGCGTGCACTTTTTCGACATCGCAACTTCCAAAAGCGGTCCGACGCTGAGGTGTTTTTTACATTTTGACTTCGAAATGTGCTTCTTGCCGCAACGGCGTGCACTTTTTCTACATCTCAACTTCCAAAAGTGGTCCGAACGTGGTGTGTTTTGCACATTTTGACTTGGAAATGTGCTTCGCGCCACAACGGCGTGCAATTTTTCATCTCTCCTCTCGCCAGCTGGCTCCGCACCCGCCGCTTTAGCGAGCCTAATTTTCGACCCTCCAGAGCCACAAATCATTGGAAAAACACAGTGTTTTGCGACTTTCCTTCCTTTTCACGCATCTGCATCTTCTTTCTTCTTACTCTTTCTCTTCTACTCTTCTTTCTTCTAATCTTTCTCTTCTCTCTGCCTCTTCCCTGCTCTGCTTTTCATCTGTCCATATTGTCGAAGGTTTGACTTCTAAACTTCCTTCGACAATAGATTCTTCAATAGGTTGTTCAGTAATGTATATGCTAATGTATGATACAATACCTCTTGCAAGCATGTGCTGCCGATTGGTCTTCAACGAGCTGAAGCGCTGGAAGGGGCCCGAAGCCTCCAGCGGCAAATGCCACTGCGAGTTCTCGGAAGTGTTGTGCATCCAACTCCTGCGCGCAGGGAATTTGAGCAGAATGTGGAGCACCTATGCGCATGACAGCCATACCAACATGCTCTGAGACCCTTCGACCAGGCGCGAACTTTTGACACCAGCTGCTCTGTTGCTGCGTGTGCCGGCAGAGCACAAAGCTTGATACAGAAAAGACACCAGATCCAATCACTTGAACAGAAAAGACACAACTGGCAATGTGACTCCAAAGGTCCATGCCTTTGCTGTTCTTGTCAAGTTGCTGCAAATAGTAAGTTCCAGAAGAGACATTGGCATTGATTGGGCTGCGAAAAAGTGAAAATGACGCCATAACCTAGACCTAAATAAATACAAGAAACATACAAAACCAATGTCAAAATAATACAAAACCAATTCCGAGAGACAGCCATGGACGCAAGAAAAAACCAAACAAGTTGACTGCTAGATAGTCCAGTCCACACCAATGCACTTTCCTTGGCTGGTTTCAACTCTTTTTCAGTCCCGCCCAATTCCAAATGGCTTTTCCAAACTCAACAAAGGGCCGAGGAATACAAAGTTGCTCGCAACAAAACGAGGGCGCCGCAAACAAAAGATCACTATGTGAATTTGAGAAAGCTAAAACAATAAGAATACAGACTTTGGGACAATTCAAAGCTACTTCTCACAGCTGCATGGAGATGCTCTGTCCAAATTCTGCCTTGGCAAAATATGCTGTGGGTAAAGTCCTCCAGGAGAACCCAACTATGCTTGGCACATCTTGGCACACTCCCTACAAGTACAAAAGGCACCACATACATCAACATTCTGATCAACGTGCCAGAAGCTGTGCATTAAGAGTTGTACTTAAAGGTTCCTCAGTGTTGCAACGTATTTTCAATGTTTTTCAATGTCTTGTCAATGTGCTGCAGCATGCCCGTAATGCCACCGAGCAACTATGGCCTTGAAGATGCGTTCATCGTACATCACCGACCGGAAAAGCTGCTGGTCCTTGCAGCAAGACAACTGTATGCTATCAACCCAACAAAAAGATAGAACATAGATCGATATATACCATAGAACATAGATGTGTACATACGTGTGTATATATTATATATATGTGTATATATATATATACACATACACGTATATACAACTTGAGGGCAAGGGGTAAGGGTCAAAAGCTAGCTTGGCAGTGTGATGGGCATGAAACACAGAAGGTAGCGCTGCGGCGGTTCTTTTGGGCGATACGGAGGGTCATGCCCTGGCAAAGGATTGCTGTTTGTCAACAACGGGCGGCGGCGCGAGTGCGTGGAGTGCGAAGTGTAAAGTGTGAAGCGTAAAGTTTAGAGGTTTAGAGTGCAAAGTATGGAGTTTAAAGTTTAGCGTGTAAAGTGTGGAGTGTAAAGTACGTTAACATTTAAGTGTAACAGTGTAACATGTCGAATGTGGAGTGTAACGTATAAGAGCAAATGAAGACATTCAGCATAGACAAGATCATGACAACTGAGTCCGGAAAATTCAAAGGTCCACCTTCGGCACCGGAGTGGACCTTTGGAAGCGCGGGAAGACGTCATGCAGTGCGGGGCGACAGTTTACGACGACGAGTAGATGTGCGCACACAACATGAAAATGGAGCAAGGCCAAGGTTCCATACAGCGTCAAGTGTGAAAAGGGCAAAGTTGTGAGGGTCTAAAGTCAAGTGTACAGTGGAAAGTGTTAAAGCGTAAACCTTACAGTGCGAGTGCCACGTGTAACAGTAGAGTGTGGAGTGCCAAGTGTAGTGTGTGAACTGTAAAGTGTCGAGTGTGGAGTATGGGGTGTAAAGTGTGCGAAATTTAGAGTGTAAAGTGTGGAATGTAAAGTTTAGAGTGTAAACTGTGGCGTGTAGAGTACGTTAGGAGTTAAGTATGAGCTGTCGAGTGTGGAGTGTGGTGTGTAAAGTGTGGCGTGTAAGTTTAGAGTGTAAAGTGTGGAGTGTAAAATGCGGAGTGCAGAGTGCACAATGTAGGGGAAAATTCAAAGGTCCACCGTCGGCACCTTTGGAAGCGCGGGAAGACATCGTGCAGTACGAGGCGACAGTTTACGACGACGAGTAGATGTGCGCACGCAACATGAAAATGGAGCAAGGCCGAGTGCCAGGTGTACAGTGTGGGTGTAAAGTGTGGACTGAGGAGTGCGAAGCGTAAAGTGTGAAGCGTAAAGTTTTGAGTGTAAAGTATGGAGTGTAAAGTTTAGTGTGTAAAGTGTGGAGTGTAAAGTGTGCTAACAGTTCATGATCATGTCGAATGTGGAGTGTAACGTGTAAGATGCGGAGTGTAAAGTTTAGCGTGTAAAGTGTGGACTCCAGAGTGCGAAGTGTAGAGGGTGGATACCAGTGATCGTGCCGATGCTGTTACTGACCGTGTCCCGGGAGGGGTTGGGCCGACTACTTAACTGAGAAGTTTCTCGCGATTGGAGATTCCATCCCCCTAATACCTTGCTAAAGCAAGAGGGACTTCAGCTAGCAGAAGCTAGCTTTGGTGATATGATACCGGTTCATGGGTAACAAAAGACAAATCTTTATTTGAAGGTTGGCGAGCTGCAGGGTTGATCAAGCTGGCAGTTTGACCACGATGCAAAGGAGCTGGAAACGTTGCGTATGTAGAACCTGCAAACCTTTCCTGGAAGCAAACGGTGCGGAAACAGGTGAACTGTCCAAATTGCTAGAAAGATCGCATGGAATCTAGCCTGATGTCAGCTGGTAGTGAAATTCTTGACTGCACAGTTTGTTCAAGAAGTGCCTACTTTCCATTCCAGCTGTAGCTGCTCAAGACGGGCCGTGTAATTCCTATTCCTGAGGCTCTTGTGCAATGAGGGCGTGTGACTCCAGTTCCACAATGACCAAGTGTTCACAGAACAAATGACGCTGAGTCCTGATAAAACATATTGCGAACATGTTCAAAGAATTTTTCACAAAGCGGGCAAACACAATTAGTACATAGTATGGACATAATCTGAGTTGAACTTAGTCTCTGCCAGGAGATCATCAATTGGTCGGAAGTCGGAGTCGGAGGAGTCGGAGGAGTCGGAGGAGTCGGAGGAGTCGGAGGAGTCGGAGGAGTCGAGATCGAGCATCTGCTGCATCGCTCTGTCGGAGATAATGTAGGCGGTCGTTCCAAGGCCTGGCGCCCGCTCAATGCTCACAGGGCCATACCAATCAGGCGCCGTTCGTTCGACCTTTACAACAGATGCAGCGCTCACCTCACCTTGGATCTCTACAGGTCTCAACCGTAACGACGCTGCTGAGTGAACCAAACTAAGATGCAGCACACTCCAATTTGATGAATTCGATGCCCACTGCACCATTCCAGCGATCAACTCGCAGACTTGTTCAACTGGTTGGGTCAGAATAAGATTGTCCTCCAGGATCAATGCCCAAGGAAGATCCTTTTGAAGTGCTTCTCTGTAGATGGACAAGTGCGAAAAGTAGCAGCCTCGTGCTCCGTTCTCATCTCGCTCAAAAATGCGGACTTGAGGTGTGCACACTTTGGACAATGTGGCCAAAGCATCGAACCGTCTCTGCTCTGAACAGGAAGTGCTGATCAAGAAAGCATGACTGGATAGTGCCTCGAGAGTGCTGGAAATTTGGGTCCATGAATTCTGTGTCTCGCCTGAAGCTGGGCCTGGCTGTGCCTGATTGGACGAGGCCACGCAAGGCTGGGCCAGTCTGGCTTCTGGCTTACACTTTCTGGGGTTCCATGGAACGGTGAAGCAGCTGGCCATCGCAGTGATGTCGCGCATCTTTGAAAACTTTGTAGCTGTTATAACTGCCAAAATCAGGGAACCAAGCGCCAAGGCGAGGAAACGTCCAATGCATCCAGTGCGTCCAGTGCCAGTGCGTCCACTGGACATCTTTCTACGGGCCATGGCATCCCGGAGGTCCATCGCGTTTGCACACGCAATACAGCCACAGACCCAACATGGCTACGGACCAATGCCAGGTGCTTCTACACTACACTGTTTAAGTTTGAAGTCAAGAACGACGCTTCCTGACCAAGCTTGTAAGATCTTGTAAGAAGTGGTGAGAATACTATCGTATATAATATAAATATATATATATAATATTATATTATACAATGCCAATTTGGAAATTAGGATGAATGAAGACTTGCAAAGGTGAAATATTCGCAGATTTGCAAAACCATATGGCCATCTTCGGCCGTCACTCTGCTTTCAGACTTCACATGACACTCTGGCACCTGGGCCCGCTGCACGAGGTCATCGTACTCTTGGATCATATCCGCTGGAACCCTGAGTGAAGGCGACCGGGCAGTGCATTTCAGGCCCGATTTGAAGCAATGCAAATGAAGTATCAGTCATGGCCACTCATAGCAAGAGCGCTGGAAGAAATCCAGTTTTGGAAGTGAGAATTTCTTTAAGGGTGTAGAATAGTTTTTCCCCACCTGCCAGGTGAGGGTTGCTAGATTTTATCAGAGCTGTTGTCCTCCTCCTCCTCCGCCTCCTCCTCCAGTTTCTCCTCGACCATGTCTGCATCAACTTCCACCTCCACTTCCGCCTTGCCAACTCTTCGCCAAGCTCTTCGCCAACTTCCGAGCTCAGTGCCTCAGCACCGCTGGACCTCAACCTGGGACCTTCCGAGCTCAGTGCGCACCGCTGGACCTCAACCTGGGACCTTCCCAGCTCAGTGCGCACCGCTGGACGTCAATGGCCAGATAGAATGCCAGAAGATATGCCAGATAGAATGTCAGATAGAATGCCAGAAGATATGCCAGATAAAATGCCATAAGATATGCCAGATAGAGTGCCATAAGATATGCCAGATAGAATGTTAGCAGATATGCCAGATAGAATGCCAGAAGGTATGCCAGATAGAATGCCAGATCAAATGTCCGATAGAATGCCAGAAGATATGCCAGATAAAGTGCCAGAATGTTTGCCAGATAGAATGGCAGAAGATGTGCCAGATGATATGCCAGAAGGTATGCCAGATGGAATATCAGATAGAATGCCAGAAGGTATGCCAGATATAGTGCCAGAATGTTTGCCAGATAGAACGCCAGAAGATTTGCCAGATAGAATGCCAGATAGAATGTCAGAAGATATGCCAGATAAAATGCCAGAAGATATGCCAGATAGAATGCCAGAAGGTATGCCAGATAGAATGTCAGATAGAATGCCAGAAGGTATGCCAGATAAAGTGCCAGAATGTTTGCCAGAACGTATGCCAGAAGATTTGCCAGATAGAATGCCAGATAGAATGCCAGAAGATATGCCAGAAGATATGCCAGATAGAGTGCCAGAAGAAATGCCAGAACATATTGCAGAAGATATGCCAGGTAGAATGCCAGAAGATATGCCAGATAGAATGCCAGATAAAATGCCAGAAGATATGTCAGATAGAATGCCAGAAGATTTGCCAGTAACAAAACGTATAGATGTCATGGTGGGGATAACTCGAAGTAAAGTATATAATTGTTTTTTTTGGCACGTGTTTTTTTCCTCTTTCCTGGTACCATTTGCCTTGTATTTGCAACAGTTTGGAACTAGAACCTGATGGTATTCGATATTTGCTACATTTGGCAATGTTCGCCTTCCATTTTGCATGGTCTTTGCCACAATTTGGCACTTCAACCTCTCATTTGAATGGTATTTGCTGCATTCTGGTACTTCAAATGTTCTTGAGGGTTCTTGGGGCTTTCATTTAGCGTTTCATTTCAGGTTTCATGTAAGGTTTCATTTAGGGTTTGATTGAAGGTTTCATGTAGGGTTTCATTTAGGGTTTCGTTTCGGGTTTCTTTAGGGTTTCATTTAGGATTTCATTAAGGGTTTTATAAAGAGCTTCATTTAGGGTTTCATTTCGGGTTTCATTTCGGGTTTCATTCAGGGTTTTTACAGTTTCATTTAGGGTTTCATGCACGGGTCTCTTACCAGCATTTCTTTACACGATTTCTAAACGTTCAAGTGGGTTTCTTTAGGGTTTCATTTAGGGTTTCATTTAGTTTAAGGTTCCTTTTAAGGTTTCATTTAGGGTTTCTTTAAGGTTCATGAGGGTTTCATGTAAGGTTCCATTTAGGGTTTCATTTCGGGTTTCATTTAGGGTTTCATTTAGGGGTTTCTTTAAGTTTGGGGTTTCTTTAGGTTTAGGGTTTCATTCAGGGTTTCTTTACGGTTTCATGTAGGGTTTCTCATCAGGGTTTCTTATCAGGATTTCTAAACATTTAAATGGGTTTCTTTAGGGCTCATTTAGGGTTTCTTTAGGGTTTCATGCACGGGTTTCTTATCAGGATTGTTTTACGATTTCTAAACATTCAAGTGGGTTTCTTTCGGGCGTCTTTAGGGTTTCATTTCGGGTTTCATCCAATCTTTCTTTAGGGTTTCTTTAAGGTTTCATTTAGGGTTTCTTTAGGGTGTCAATTTAGGGTTTCGGTTGACGTTTCCTTCAGGGATTTTTCAGGGTTTAGGGTGCCATTTAAAGCTTTTTTACGGTTTCATTCATGGTTTCTTTAGGGTTAATTTATGGTTTCTTTAGGGTTCATTTAGCGTTTCAAGTAGGGTTTCTTATCAAGATTTCTATCAGGATTTCTTTCGGGTTTCTTTGGGTTTCACCTAGGGTCTCTCTAGGGCTTCATTTGGGATACAAACAGGAGAGACTAAAGCAAAAGAAAATGAAAAACAAAGAGGCAGTAAAGACAGGAAGCAGAGAAGCAAAGGAGAGGAAGTAGAGCAGCAAAAACACATGACTGAAGAAAAGAAAAAGTTGAATAGTAGAAGTAGAAAGGCACAGAAGCACAAAAGCAGAAACGCGGAAAAGCAGAGAAGCAGGGAAAGCAGAGAAGCAGAAAAGCAAAGAAGCAGAGAAAGCAAAAAGCAGAAGAGCAGTGAAGCAGGAAAGGCAAAAGGCAGAAAAGCAGAGAAGCAGTAAAGGCAAAAAGCAGAGACGCAGAGAAGCAGAAAAGCAGAGAAGCAATGAAAGCAGAGAAGCAATGAAAGCAGAAAAGCAGAAACGCAGGAAAAGCAAAGAAGCAGAAAAGCAGAAAGGCAGAGAAACAACAGAGAAGCAGGAAAAGCAAAGAAGCAGAAAAAGCAGAAAAGCAGAGAAACAGAGAAGCAGAGAAACAGAAAAGCAGAGAAGCAGAGAAGCAGAAAAGCATAGAACCAGGAACCCAAAATTTCCAACACCTGCCACAACAAAAAAAGAAATAGCCGTCCATATCTTTAATATGTCCGACACTGTTATGCATATATTACATACATATGATATTTAGTACGGTATTACAGTTATTGTTGTTGTGGTCATGACCATCCGTACCATCTTCATTGTCATTAACAATTCTGCTTTTTGGTGTCATGATCACTCCTATTATCATCAAACATAATTATTATTGCTGCTGTTACTGTTATCATCCGCATTGTTATTTGAAGATATTTTGAATTTTTATTTACCATTGTCACTATATTGTCATTGCAGCAACATTATGTATCATTATCGTTTTTTTTTTGGGGGGGGGTTCCTCTATATTCCTGAGTTATGCCCTCAGGTGCCTGGGTCGGTCCTGAGGCCAAGGCAAAATGCTATCAGGGTTGGAAGACAAAAGCAACTGTCTTCTTCTTTGCCGGTAGCCTGGTGATAGCGGCAACATGTCCCTGGCCCTTTGCCAAGCACATCCCGGCTTGTGCGCAAAATATGCAAGCCGTGACAAACCTCCTTTCTAAAAAAAAGAAAGCTCCCTCTAAAACCTCCTCCGAGCTTTAAAACACTCTCTGAAATTCTAACCTCCCGGTAGAAGCATCCTGAGGCCTTCCTTGAAGCATGAACTGTGCACTATCGATGCCCCACTGGGACATATGTGTATATGTATAATACACACATATATATATGTTGATATAACATATAAAAATAAGCCAAGATTGTCTGTGAATGTCTGTGACATGTAAAAACCAATGACACGAACTTCGAAGGGGGAGTCCTAAGTTTGTTGCTTCAGCTGTCCACAGCCGTCCACAGCCGTCCACAGCCGTCCACAGCCGTCCACAGCCGTCCACAGCCGTCCACAGCCGTCCACAGCCGTCCACAGCCGTCCACCCTCCACCCGTATGGCGGTGGACCGAGCCTTGACCACAGGTGGAGGAGCAGGACCCCCAGGCTTCCCACTCAGCCCAGCCACAGTACTGCCTGAACTTCCAAAGTGACGGGCATGGCAGTAGCACACCACTAGCAGATACGAGCACTAGGCAAATATGTTAGATGATGGAATAAAGGAATGAGACAAAACTCACAGTCCTCGTATTCCTGGGACTGTCCGGGCGTTTCTTTGTCAGTCTTTGATCATTCGTGCATTGTCTCCATTCTCTCTATCAGTGCACTCTCTGGTCGCTTAGCACTATGACTCTTTCTCCAAGTCCGTACATGATGTTTCCTCAATCCTGCGTTTCTCCTTCTTTCTCGGGGAACCTGCTGTCTTTGATACCGTTCTGCTTTCATTCGGTTGAGATTGCTTCAGCGAAGATGTTGATGTGAGTTGGTGGTAACTGAAGTATGTTGAAATGTGTTTAGAAATATTGAGCAATGTTGAAAATGTTGAAAGATGTTGAAATGGCGGGACTGAGAAGTCGGCTTTTCATGGCACTTTCGTGGGCATTGTCCAGCCTTGCTTGTAACGAGGATTTCATGATGGCTTGGGGCTTGGAGCATCCCGGAGCTGCAGAATGTCACGAAATGTCATGCGTCAATGCACCTCCTGGGTGTTCGTGAGGTCGCACTCCTTTCCTGTCCGACATCATCTGTGTCTGATGGTGTAGACTCAGAGGGTGGAGACTTCATGGAAATCATTCGAAGATATTCAAAGTATTCGGAACAGCAACTCATTGCCAATGCATCGTTGAAAAGGGCCTCCCGCTTCGGGGTACTGAGCGATACTGCGAAACCTGCGAATCTTGCGGGTTCTGGGCTTTCCAGGACATGGATCACGCCCCTCAGGCATGTCATTCGCCCGAATTCTGCCAAATATCCTAGACGTGTCTTGCATTGATCTGCAATATCATCACTGCCAGGCCTTTTTCTCTGTCCGCTGCACTTGCCACATGCTCCCCACTCCTTGCGAACTGGAACATTCCTGCGTGTTTGATAGACCCAAGCGCTACATCTTATGTGTATGCTGTACCGTGTAGACCACACATATCTTATTGCTTCCATTCTGTGCTTCCGCAGAAATCTTCCTGCCACTCGGCGAAGATGCAGTCTTTCGGCTCTGGGCCGCCGCAACTTTGTCTGGCCTCGGTCTGAGCAGAAAGCAGGAGACACTAAGAAGCTATTTTCCGCTGTGACATGCTATGAGAGCAAAAACCTCGCCACACACTGCTCGGCATGTTGACGACTGTTCACCATTGACATTCTGAAGTTTGCACGCACTCTGAGATCTCCTTTAGAGGACCCTCACCTGGGAAGCCACGGCAGCCTCTGAAAATTGGTGCAAATTGAGGCCCCGGTTTAGGGACAATTCCAGCTACGGTGACAAAAAGGGAAGTCATTGGAAGCGGAACTGCAGTGGTGGGAGCGCCGCTGCTGTTTGGACGTGTGGCTAGCGGTGACTCAACCATGGTGAGGCAACGTCATTTGTCCCGCAAACAAGTTTAACAAGATGCAACAACAACTTCAGAGTTGCGCACAGTGATCCGCAATGCCGCAATGCAGCGTCCAACATTTACTTGAGAGAAACATAGAGAAACCATCTCAGACAGCATGCTGACGTCGGGCCAAAGCTGCAAAGGGGGTGCTGCGAAGCACTCGGCTGGCAACAGACAATCCCAACATCTGTTGTTTGTCTGCTACTGCTACTCTATCACTCATCTACTCGAAACGAGAGAATCCATAGCCACAAAACTGACATAAATTGCCCCAAACATACCTCCACCCCGGTAATGAGGCAGCATTTCTTGCGCCGACTTGATACGGAGGCATCACATAGTTTTACGTCTTATAACAGGACTGTAGAGGAGCTGTGTCACTTCAGAAAGTTGACCTAGCAGCCACCTATGCCGTCCGAAGAGTAGTTACCATTGTGGTTGTTGTTGCTCCTTGTTGATGCAAGTTTCCAGGAACACTTTGTAATACCATGGCCCTAGGACTAAGCCCCACTTAATAGGAAGATATAAAATGATAAAAACTATAAACCAAGGTCACCACATGACATACATGACATAAACCTTCAGCAACCCAAACCCATCAAATCTCAAAGGTACTTGGCCCAATTGGTTGTTGGCTTGACTTGACTTGACTTGCTTGTGTTTGTTGAATGTATGTTTCCAGAGCTAGAAAGACTTGTTGCAAATGAAGTCCATTGTCTTTAAGGGCCTTGACGGAAGGAATCAAGCCCGTGACTGCCAAAGGGGTGGGAAGGGTACAACGGTATATAGTATAACGGTACAACATGGTATAACTGTGAAAATCTTACAGGAAAGTTATGTCAAACCTTGCAAGAGCGCGAGGGGCTCGATCCAGCAGAAGCAAATTTGACTGAAGAAACAATTTTCATTACTTTCGGAAAGTGAAAACAAAGCTGGGATACCCTTGGTGTCCGGCACGCCAATCCACCATTCTCGGCGTGCTGTGTGATGCTACGACTTCGCCTTGGAACAAATTGCGATGCAATTTTGGACTTTTTGGACCAGCATTTTGACATATTTTGACGACGTGGAGCGCTCAACGCTGTGGATTTCCTGAAGAAATCTCAGCCGCTTCTGAAGAGAATGTCACAATGCCAAGGATGGCACGTGTGCTCACCACCGCCGCATGTTACACTGCACTCCTTCCAGGCCTGTTGTGTCTGCTTTGTTAACACCACCCCAAAATGATCTAAAATACAATTCCAACTCGCAAGGATCACGCGTTGTTTGTCAAACTTGCAACTGCATGCAGATAATTTGCAAAGGCAGCAATTATTTGGAAAGGAACAAGAATCTTGCAAGGCTTCAACAATTCTACGACATTTGTGCTCAAAGATTGGCCACCCGAAAAAATACAGCAAAGCATCTCAAGCGAGACTGATGTAGTTTGACAAAGCACCTCCCACTCGCCAAAAATGCAGTCTTTGGCTGGCCCGGGACCACAGCCCTGCCAGGTAAGCCGCCATATATGTCTCTGTGTATCTTTTTTTTATTGTTTTGGCTTGCCTTCTTTGCTTGTTTGCTTGTTTGCTTGTTCGATCGATTGGTCGGATAGTCGTTTGGTCGCCTGGTCGTTTGCTTTGCCCAGGAATGGCTTTGCAAAGTCAAGTGTGCCTCTGGTGCAGCTTCTTGTTCTGATGGATTGCAGGGAGCTGTTTCTCGCAGGCCCTGGAGGAATAAGCATGGAACATCCAAGACTTGAAGGTCAGAATTCAAGTGACATGAACAAGTGCTTCTGATGAAGTCAAAAAACAAACTTCTAAGTTTGGGAATTGAATAAATCCTGTGATTTTGCTCTAAACCATCACTGTAAATTTGACATCTTCCCTCTCGGGCAAGATTGCAAGATTACCTTGCGATTTCGCTACTAATTTGTCACGTTCTCTCTTCCTTCTCTGCACTTTATGTTCTGGTCGTCTTATATAGAACTTTGGAAATTGCGCCCTACAACTTGGAGATCTTTGTAAGTCCCTGACACCCTTGCACCAGGCGCCAGTTCCTCTCCCATAGGTTTTGACCTGGCAAGGAGCTGGTGCTTGAGTACTTGCTAATTGAGTCAGTCTGAGTCAGTTGAATTTAATCTTGAAAGGCCCAGAGGTGAACTTGAGCTGGATGAACCACTCGGGCACGGTGTCGAAGCCCATCACAAGTCCCAGAACATGCGCTCCATGATTCCCACCTAGGGATCAGGGAGGCTCACATGCCAGGCTCCTTTTCACATGTGCACATGACAAGGCGTTGATTTTGAAGTTCCCATTGAGATTTTGATCTCAGAGGCTGACTCAGAGAGTTCGCAGTCAATGGGCCTCCCACACTCGCCCAGCTGTGACTCGAGTGAATCGACTCAAACAGCAGCTGGTAGGGCTTGATACGCGGCAAAGCGATATCACACAAGTCTCTTAAGTTGTTCAAGCTGAAGTTCAAGTTACTTGCAACAGTTTCCAACAAAATCAGCGCTTGAACCACTTGAAATGGATTTGTGCCTGGAGCAAGGGACTCCAACATGACAGTAGCGGATTTCGGAATTCTTACCAAGTGGCCTCGGCAGTGCATTCTCTAACCCTCGAATACTCCAGGCTGGGATTCGGACCTCCATTACTGCTAACATGCTGTAGCAATTTTGAGTTCTTTTGTAGGGCAAACAAGACTTTTGGGACTTAGATTTCTGGCCATTCTGCGAAAACAACTTGGAAATCGCTGGGGCCAACGCTCGCTGCCACAATGGTTTGCCATGACTTCCACCCTGAGCGTTGCATGGAGGCTCAATGAAAAGACAAACGAAATGCCTTCGAAATGCCATACCAAGGTGAAATCCGTGTCAACCAATCACAACCCTCTCCCCGAACCTCCGCCTTCGAAACGTAACCCCTCCACCTAGGAAAATGCAGCATGCTCATGGGTGAAATCCGGCATCCTGTTGCTCAAACAAACCGTTCATGTTTAACCAATTTTTATTCATGTTTGACATTTTTTGACTCACAAATAGGTTCTGCCATGTTCTGTTCTGTTCGTTTGTAAGAGCTCCGGACCACATGACACAGAACAGCCTGACCATTCACTCCAATCGCCCCACCTCAGAAAGTTGTTTGATTCTGTCAAGCCAGCCAACTTTCAAAAGTGCGCAATTTAAACTTGCAAACGTACAAATTTTGAGGACACCCAAGTCTCTGACTTTCCATCCCGACAGTTTGTCAAACTGCACTTTTGGGTGTTGCAAGGCCTTAGAAAAGCTTAAAAGGATTGAAAAGGTCTGAAATTTAACCCAGTTGACTTCACTTGAATTGTCAATCGAGAAACGCATTTGGCATGGCATATGGCTGCATGGCTTGGCAGGAGTCATGCACTGATTTCACCTTTGTGCCGGGCGCAATCTGTTCCTTGTCGCTCTCCTGGAGCATTTGTTCACGACTTCATCAAACGCTACGCCGTTTGTCCCTGGTGCACGAAACCCTTAGGTGCTGAAACAGAATTCCTCTTGAAGGGTCTGACTGCACACCTTGCAAGTGTTTTCCATGTTTTCCATGCTTCCCATGCTTTCCATTCAACCACCTGGATGTCGCGACTGCTCGAGTGTCCTTGCAAGGCGACCCTCCCCCTGCTGGAGCTTGGGCAACGTGACGCGTCCTCGTCTGCCTCAGGCGGGAGCCGTGCAGGTCATGTCTTCTTCTCTTTTGTCTCTCTTTATCACTCTCCTCTCTCCCCTCTCTCCCCTCTCTCCCCTCTCTCCCTCTCTCCCCTCTCTCCCCTCTCTCCCCTCTCCCCTCCTCTCTCCCCTCTCTCCGCTCTCTCCGCTCTCTCCCCTCTCTCCCTCCCTCTTTAGCTTTCAAATCTGAAGTATCTGAAGTTGCAAAACGTTCCTCTTTGTCACACTTAATACATGTACTTCGTTAAGCTGTTGTTCTGCAAGCTTCCATGATGGGGCTTGTGACACCAATTCGGTGTGGCGGATGCAAGGCAAAAACACTTTCAGATTTTGAAAGGCTTGCTGTCTGATTGACTTGTATTGCTGTTCGCTTCTGCGGCATACTGCAATACCTCCCTCCGAAACTGAACCCTCCCCACCTCCGACCGCTTTGCCATCCTTTACTACTCCTTTACTAGTTACTATTCCCTTCCATCCCTTGTCAGCCATTTCCGTCCATTGCTGGTACTATCCCTTCCTCACGTGATTCTGACTGAGTCATGATATGATGCTGATGATATGTGTACATAACATACATATATATATATACATATGTCTGTGTGAAATGCTGTAAAACCTGTTGATTTCTGAAATTGGCCGTGCCCGTCTCACTTGCCACCCTTGCCACTTTGTAGTTGGAACAATCCCCCATCTTCAATCCGCAAACTGAATGTTTGACTTCAAAACTGCAATGCTTTCGCTTGCCACTTGTCAACCAAAGCAAGTGTTGCACGTGCCACCTTTGAGGCAAATCATTTGTAACGCAACTAGAGCGGTTCAAATAGGCCCATTCCGGTGAAAAATGCCATGCCGTGGGGAACATTCTTGCGGCAAGTCCTCCCGCCGTCCCGTCAAAATAATATATATATATATATATTTACTGATGCAATCTGATGCAGTTCGCAGGGCTTCCTAACTTTTTGACCATTTTTATTGCATATGGCCTCTTGGCTCAAATCCACTACTTGCTTTCACTTTCTGCACATTTCTGTTGCGTTGTGTTCCCTCTGATGAACATAGAAGAAGCTGCGCGAACTCTACTAAAACACGTCTTTTCATTTTTTCTGATGTAGTTGATTCATGACCGGAGAGTCTTGAGTTGGCACAATGATTAGCAGCTACGCACTACTTGATCTACTTGAGCATTTGATCTTGTGAGCATCGGCATGCCCGAGGCATCTGCTGTCCGCCATCACAGCTGCAAGTGCATCCGCTCCATTCACTCCAATCACCTGCAAGTCGCTTGCTTTCAAAAGGGCTTTCAAAAGACTTATATACACCATCTTACACCCCACACGAATGAAGATCCATACGATCCTTGGTGCCATAAACGGCAGCCCACGTGAATGTCACAAAATCTGCGCACCCCAAAGGCAGTCAAGCTTGCCGCAATCCATATCTCCTTCCTTAGATGCACTCACACTGTCCCCCTGTTTTGATATGTTGGTCTCGGGATGTCTCACCCTTGCAGGAACTCAGATCTGAGACTCAGATAGACTGAGACTGAGACACAGTGTTGAGTCATCCCAAGCTCCAGGGTACAGCCTTAAAGAAGGTCCAATCCAGTGTCTAACGGAGTCAAGCGGTTGGATCAACCTGGCCCTGGGGGCGTACCAAGCCCATGGAGGCTTCGCAAGCGAATGATGTGACGACCTGAGTGATGCACTTCGTTGCCGGTATCTTGGTCTGGCACTTCTTGTCCGCTTGCCATGCGGTTTGATGCTGCTTGTTTATTTCCTTCAACTGCGCTTCAAGCCCCCTGGACTTTGGGTGCCATCTCTTTTCTCACAGGCCAAGGTTGTGATATGTTCAGCCTGTTAATCTGTTTTCTTCTGCTACGCTAATGCTTCAATGTATTTGACACGTGCTCTCTCTCTCTCTCTCGCTCTAAGCATGCAGCTCCGACTGTGCTGGCCGGGTCCACAGCTTGAAGAGCATGAACCCCACCTGAGCTGTACTACCCGAACAACTCAACAGCAACCTATGATCCAGTCCAAACACCTGGTCCGCCAGATCTACCTGGTCTACGAGTGCAGCTGGTGCACCACAGTGTCTGACGTAGGTATGTCCCTTTCAATAGGCACTTCATGGCACTTTTATTGTTTCTGAATGGGTTTCTTTCATGAAGGACTGGCAAGTGATCCTCTAGCGACAGTAAATGGTATCTCTTCGTGCTTTACTTCGCAAGGAACTCATAGAAGAGACCGGGAATGATTCTGTCTTGAATACTCTTTGAAATTGGCTTTGCTTTTGCCGAACATAGAACACTGGTACTCCGTAAGATTTTTTGTTCTATCCTAGTCGCAAGTCCTCTTCGTTTTCTCGCAGCTGGTTCGTCACAACGGGCAAAAGCATTGTCAGCTACCAGTATCATCTGTTGCATCCAACCATCGTGGTCACTCCATGTCACGATGTTCGGTTCCAAGTTCCGGGCTCAGTCCACTCTGATACCAAACAATCTTCACCATCACATGACCTTGCTTGAAGCAGAACTTGAGAGAGGACGCTTGCAAAGTTTGAGGTCAACAAAGAACTCCAATGAAAAAAAAAATGCGATTGCAAACTGAGCCAGATTCTGAGAATTGCAGCTTCTGGTAACCTGCTGATTTGCAACACGGAATTGAAAACGGATCTGATATGAACTCTGCAATACGGATGATGACAGCTAGCCATTCTATCTCGTTCAAATCTGCTCGTATTCTCATGTCACTCGTCTTCAGCGAATCATGCTTGTCATGCCATACCCTGTGTGAAAGAGTTTCATCAGGTAAAATCATTTCAACCACATCTCAACCATTTTTGTTGAGAATGAGAAAACAAATTATTTTCAACAAAAATGGGCTGCTTGCTTGGTTGGCCTTGAGGTCCTTTGGACATGGTTCTCCACCAGCTTGTGGAAAGTTTTGCACCTCTTCATGCACACCCGTCAGTCAATGCACAAACCTAACCCCAATCAGCTCCTTCACCCCTTCGAAACCCTTTGAGATTTTTGCAATCCTTTTGCAATCCTTTTGCAATCCTTTTGGCATTCTTTTGACATCCTTTTGCAATCCTTTGGCAATCATTTTGGCATTTTTTCGCAATCATTTTGCAAATCCTTTTGACATCCTTTCTCAATCCTTTTGCAATCCTTTCGCAATCCTTTTGGCAATCCTTGTGACATCCTTTTGACATCCTTTTGCAATCCTTTTGCAATCCTTGTGATATCCTTCCGCAATCCTTTTGACATCTTTGCAATCTTTTTGCAATCCTTTTGACATCCTGTTGCAATCCTTTTGGCATCCTTTTGACATCCTTTTGCAATCCTTTTGCAATCCTTTTGACATCCTTTTGCAATCCTTTTGACATCCTTTTGCAATCCTTTTGACATCCTTTTGACATCCTTTTGACATCCTTTCGCAATCCTTTTGCAATCCTGTTGCCATCCTTTTGCAATTCTTTTGGCATCTTTGCAATCTTTTTGCAATCCTTTTGACATTCTTTCGCAATCATTTTGCAAATCCTTTTGACATCCTTTTGCAGTCCTTTTGCAATCCTTTTGACATCCTTTTGCAATCCTTTTGACATCCTTTTGACATCCTTTTGAGATCCTTTCGCAATCCTTTTGCAATCCTTTTGCCATCCTTTTGCAATTCTTTTGGCATCCTTTTGACATCCTTTTGCAATCCTTTTGCAACCCTTTTGCACTCCTGCCATCCTATTGACATCCTTTTGCAATCCTTTTGCAATCCTTTTGACATCCTTTTTGCAATTCTTTTGGCATCCTTTTGGCATCCTTTTGCAATCCTTTTGACATCCTTTTGACATCCAATCGCAAGCCTTTTGCAATCCTTTTGACATCCTTTCGCAATCTTTTTGCAATCCTTTTGACATCCTTGCAATCCTTTTGACATCCTTTTGACATCCTTTTGCAATCCTTTTGCAATCCTTTTGACATCCTTTCACAATCCTTTTGACATCCTTTTGCAATCCTTTTGACATCCTTTCGCAATCTTTTTGCAATCCTTTTGACATCCTTTTGCATTCCCATTGCAATCCTTTTGACATCCTTTCGCAATCCTTTTGCAATCCTTTTGCCATCCTTTTGCAACCCTTTTGAAATCCTTTCGCAATCCTTTTGACATCCTTTCGCACTCCTTTTGCAATCCCTTTGCAATCCTTTTGACATCCTTTTGCAATCCTTTTGCACCCCTTTCGACACCCTTTGGCAATCCTTTTGCAATCCATTTGACATCCTTTCGCGCTCCTGTCGCAATCCTTTCGCAATTCTTTCGCAATCCTTTTGCCATCCTTTTGGAATCCTTTTTGCAATCCTTTTGCAATCCTTTTGCAATCCTTGGACGACATCCTTTGGCAATCATTTTGACATTCTTTCGCAATCATTTTGCAAATCCTTTTGACATCCTTTCGCAATCCTTTTGCAATCCTTTCGCAATCCTTTGGCAATCCTTTTGACATCCTTTAGCAATCCTTTTGCATTTCTTTTGCAATCCTTTTGACATCCTTCTTCAATCCTTTTGACGTCCTTCTGCAATCCTTTTGACGTCCTTTTGGCATCCTTTTGCAATCCTTATATTGACATCCTTTTGATATCCTTCCGCAGTCCTTTGACATCTTTGCAATCCTTTCGGCATTTCTGACATCCTTTTGCAATCCTTTTGCAATCCTTTTGCAACCCTTTTGACATCCTTTTGCAATCCTTTCGCACTCCTTTTGACATCCTTTTGCAATCCTTTTGCAATCCTTTCGCAATCCTTTTGCAATCCTTTTGACATCCTTTTGCAATCCTTTTGACATCCTTTTGACATTCTTTTGACATCCTTTCGCAATCCTTTTGCAATCCTGTTGCCATCCTTTTGCAATTCTTTTGGCATCTTCGCAATCTTTTTGCAATCCTTTTGACATTCTTTCGCAATCATTTTGCAAATCCTTTTGACATCCTTTTGCAATCCTTTTGACATCCTTTTGACATCCTTTTGACATCCTTTTGAGATCCTTTCGCAATCCTTTTGCAATCCTTTTGCAAACCTTTTGGAATCCTTTTTGTAATCCTTTTAACATCCTTTTGCAATTCTTTTGGCATCCTTTTGACATCCTTTTGCAATCCTTTTGCAACCCTTTTGCACTCCTGCCATCCTATTGACATCCTTTTGCAATCCTTTTGCAATCCTTTTGACATCCTTTTTGCAATTCTTTTGGCATCCTTTTGGCATCCTTTTGCAATCCTTTTGACATCCTTTTGACATCCAATCGCAAGCCTTTTGCAATCCTTTTGACATCCTTTCGCAATCTTTTTGCAATCCTTTTGACATCCTTGCAATCCTTTTGACATCCTTTTGACATCCTTTTGCAATCCTTTTGCAATCCTTTTGACATCCTTTCACAATCCTTTTGACATCCTTTTGCAATCCTTTTGACATCCTTTCGCAATCTTTTTGCAATCCTTTTGACATCCTTTTGCATTCCCATTGCAATCCTTTTGACATCCTTTCGCAATCCTTTTGCAATCCTTTTGCCATCCTTTTGCAACCCTTTTGAAATCCTTTCGCAATCCTTTTGACATCCTTTTGCACTCCTTTTGCAATCCCTTTGCAATCCTTTTGACATCCTTTTGCAATCCTTTTGCACCCCTTTCGACACCCTTTGGCAATCCTTTTGCAATCCATTTGACATCCTTTCGCACTCCTGTCGCAATCCTTTTGCAATTCTTTCGCAATCCTTTTGCCATCCTTTTGGAATCCTTTTTGCAATCCTTTTGCAATCCTTTTGCAATCCTTGGACGACATCCTTTGGCAATCATTTTGACATTCTTTCGCAATCATTTTGCAAATCCTTTTGACATCCTTTCGCAATCCTTTTGCAATCCTTTCGCAATCCTTTGGCAATCCTTTTGACATCATTTGGCAATCCTTTTCCAATCCTTTAGCAATCCTTTTGCAATCCACTTGGAATCCTTTCGCAAACCTTTCGCAATCCTTTTGCAAACCTTTTGGAATCCTTTTTGTAATCCTTTTAACATCCTTTTGCAATTCTTTTGGCATCCTTTTGACATCTTTGCAATCCTTTTGGCATTACTGACATCCTTTTGCAATCCTTTTGCAATCCTTTTGCAACCCTTTTGACATCCTTTTGCAATCCTTTTGACATCCTTTCGCAATCCTTTTGCAATTCTTTCGCAATCCTTTTGCAATCCTTTTGGCCTCCTTTTAAAATCCGGCCATCCTTTTGACATCCTTTTGCAATCCTTTTGCAATCCTTTTGCAATCCTTTTGCAATCCTTTTGACGTCCTTTTGCAATCCCTTTGAAATCCTATTGGCATCCTTTTGCAATCCTTTTGACATCCTTTTGCATTCCCTTTGCAATCCTTTTGGCATCCTTTTGCAATCCTTTTGCAATCCTCTTGCAACCCTTTTGCAATCCTTTTGGCATCCTTTTGACATCCTTTTGACATCCTTTTGCAAACTTTTTGCAATCCTTTTGACATCCTTTTGCAATCCTTTTGACATCCTTTCGCGATCTTTTTGCAATCCTTTTGACATCCTTTTGACATCCTTTTGCAAACTTTTTGCAATCCTTTTGACATCCATTTGCAATCCTTTTGACATCCTCGTGATATCCCTTTGCGATTCTTTTGACATCCTTTCGCAATCTTTTTGCAATCCTTTTGACATCCTTTCGCAATCCTTTTGCAATCCTTTTGACATCCTTTTGCAATCCTTTTGGCATCCTTGTGACATCCTTTGGCAATCCTTTTGCCATCCTTTTGCAATTCTTTTGACATCCTTTCGCAATCTTTTTGCAATCCTTTTGACATCCTTTTGCATTCCCTTTGCAATCCTTTTGACATCCTCTCGCAATCCTTTTGCAATCCTTTTAGCATCCTTTTGCAATCCTTTTGCAACCCTTTTGCACCCCTTCCATCCTATTGACATCCTTTTGCAATCCTTTTGACATCCTTTTGCAATTTTGACATCCTTTTGCAATCCTTTTGCAATCCTCTTGCAACCCTTTCGCAATCCTTTTGACATCCTTTCGCAGTCCTTTTGCAATCCTTTTAGCATCCTTTTGTAATCCTTTTGCAATCCTTTCGCACTCCTTTTGACATCCTTTTGCAAACCTTTTGGAATCCTTTTTGTAATCCTTTTAACATCCTTTTGCAATCCTTTTGACATCCTTTTGCAATCCTTTTGCAATCCTCTTGCAACCCTTTTGCACTCCTGCCATCCTATTGACATCCTTTTGCAATCCTTTTGCAATCCTTTTGACATCCTTTTTGCAATTCTTTTGGCATCCTTTTGGCATCCTTTTGCAATCCTTTTGACATCCTTTTGACATCCAATCGCAAGCCTTTTGCAATCCTTTTGCAATCCTTTTGACATCCTTTCGCAATCTTTTTGCAATCCTTTTGACATCCTTGCAATCCTTTTGACATCCTTTTGACATCCTTTTGCAATCCTTTTGCCATCCTTTTGACATCCTTTCACAATCCTTTTGACATCCTTTTGCAATCCTTTTGACATCCTTTCGCAATCTTTTTGCAATCCTTTTGACATCCTTTTGCATTCCCATTGCAATCCTTTTGACATCCTTTCGCAATCCTTTTGCAATCCTTTTGCCATCCTTTTGCAACCCTTTTGAAATCCTTTCGCAATCCTTTTGACATCCTTTCGCGCTCCTTTTGCAATCCCTTTGCAATCCTTTTGACATCCTTTTGCAATCCTTTTGCACCCCTTTCGACACCCTTTGGCAATCCTTTTGCAATCCATTTGACATCCTTTCGCACTCCTGTCGCAATCCTTTTGCAATTCTTTCGCAATCCTTTTGCCATCCTTTTGGAATCCTTTTTGCAATCCTTTTGCAATCCTTTTGCAATCCTTTTGCAATCCTTGGACGACATCCTTTGGCAATCATTTTGACATTCTTTTGCAATCATTTTGCAAATCCTTTTGACATCCTTTCGCAATCCTTTTGCAATCCTTTCGCAATCCTTTGGCAATCCTTTTGACATCCTTTAGCAATCCTTTTGGCATTTCTTTTGCAATCCTTTTGACATCCTTTTTCAATCCTTTTGACGTCCTTCTGCAATCCTTTTGACGTCCTTTTGGCATCCTTTTGCAATCCTTATATTGACATCCTTTTGATATCCTTCCGCAGTCCTTTGACATCTTTGCAATCCTTTTGGCATTTCTGACATCCTTTTGCAATCCTTTTGACATCCTTTTGCAACCCTTTTGACATCCTTTTGCAATCCTTTTGCAATCCTTTTGACATCCTTTCGCAATCCTTTTGCAATTCTTTCGCAATCCTTTTGCAATCCTTTTGGCCTCCTTTTAAAATCCGGCAATCCTTTTGACATCCTTTTGCAATCCTTTTGCAATCCTTTTGACATCCTCGTGATATCCTTTTGACGTCCTTTTGCAATCCCTTTGAAATCCTATTGACATCCTTTTGCAATCCTTTTGCAATCCTTTTGACATTCATTTGACATTCTTTTGCAATCATTTTGCAAATCCTTTTGACATCCTTTTGACATCCTTTTGACATCCTTTTGCAAACTTTTTGCAATCCTTTTGACATCCATTTGCAATCCTTTTGACATCCTCGTGATATCCTTTTGCAATTCTTTTGACATCCTTTCGCAATCTTTTTGCAATCCTTTTGACATCCTTTCGCAATCCTTTTGCAATCCTTTTGACATCCTTTTGCAATCCTTTTGGCATCCTTGTGACATCCTTTGGCAATCCTTTTGCCATCCTTTTGCAATTCTTTTGACATCCTTTCGCAATCTTTTTGCAATCCTTTTGACATCCTTTTGCATTCCCTTTGCGATCCTTTTGACATCCTCTCGCAATCCTTTTGCAATCCTTTTAGCATCCTTTTGCAATCCTTTTGCCACCCTTTTGCACCCCTGCCATCCTATTGACATCCTTTTGCAATCCTTTTGACATCCTTTTGCAATCCTTTTGACATCCTTTTGCAATCCTTTTGCAATCCTCTTGCAACCCTTTCGCAATCCTTTTGACATCCTTTCGCAGTCCTTTTGCAATCCTTTGAGCATCCTTTTGTAATCCTTTTGCAATCCTTTTGCAATCCTTTCGCACTCCTTTTGACATCCTTTTGCAAACCTTTTGGAATCCTTTTTGCCATCCTTTTGACATCCTTTTGCAATCCTTTTGACATCCTTTTGCATTCCCATTGCAGTCCTTTTGACATCCTTTCGCAATCCTTTTGCAATCCTTTTGCCATCCTTTCGCAACCCTTTTGAAATCCTTTCGCCCTTTTGAAATCCTTTTGCAATCCTTTTGACATCCTTTCGCACTCCTTTCACAATCCTTTTGACATCCTTTTTCAATCCTTTTGCAATCCTTTTGACATCCTTTCGCAATCTTTTTGCAATCCTTTTGACATCCTTTTGCAATCCTTTTGACATCCTTTTGACATCCTTTGGCAATCCTTTTGCAATCCTTGTGATATCCTTGGCAATCCTTTTGACATCTTTGCAATCTTTTTGCAATCCTTTTGACATCCTTTGCAATCCTTTGCAATCCTTTTGACATCCTTTTGCAATCCTTTTGCAATGCTTTTCGCATCCTTTTGCAATCCTTTTGACATCCTTTTGACATCCGTTTGACATCCTTTCGCAATCCTTTTGCAATCCTTTTGACATCCTTTTGCAATTCTTTTGGCATCCTTTTGACATCCTTTTGCAATCCTTTTGCAATCCCTTTACAATCCTTTTGACGTCCTTTTGACATCCTTTTGCAATCCTTTTGACATCCTTTTGACATTCTTTTGGCATCCTTTTGACATCCTTTTGCAATCCTTTTGACATGCTTTTGCAATCCTTTTGACATCCTTTTGACATCCAATCGCAAGCCTTTTGACATCCTTTTGACATCCTTTTGACATTCTTTTGCGATCCTTTTGCAATCCTCTTGACGTCCTTTTGCAATCCTTGCAAATCCTTTTCGCATCTTTTTGCAATCCTTTTGCCATCCTTTTGACATCCTTTTGCAATCCTTTTGACATCCTTTTGCATTCCCATTGCAGTCCTTTTGACATCCTTTCGCAATCCTTTTGCAATCCTTTTGCCATCCTTTCGCAACCCTTTTGAAATCCTTTCGCCCTTTTGAAATCCTTTTGCAATCCTTTTGACATCCTTTCGCACTCCTTTCACAATCCTTTTGACATCCTTTTTCAACCCTTTTGCAATCCTTTTGACATCCTTTCGCAATCTTTTTGCAATCCTTTTGACATCCTTTTGCAATTCTTTTGACATCCTTTCGCAATCTTTTTGCAATCCATTTGACATCCTTTCGCAATCCTTTTGCAATCCTTTTGACATCCTTTTGCAATCCTTTTGGCATCCTTGTGACATCCTTTGGCAATCCTTTTGCGCTCCTTTAGCAATCCTTTTGCATTTCTTTTGCAATCCTTTTGCAATCCCTTTACGATCCTATTGACGTCCTTTTGACATCCTGTTGCCATCCTATAGTTGACATCCTTTTGCAATCCTTTTGCAATCCATTTGACATCCTTTTGCAATCTTTTTGCGATCCTTTTGAGGTCCTTTTGCAATCCCTTTGCAATCCTTTTGACATCCTTTCCCAATCCTTTTGCAAACCTTTTAGCATCCTTTTGCAATCCTTTTAATCCTTTCGCACTCCTTTTGACATCCTTTTGCAAACCTTTTGGAATCCTTTTTGTAATCCTTTTAACATCCTTTTGCAATCCTTTTGACATCCTTTTGCAATCCTTTTGCAATCCTTGGACGACATCCTTTTGCAATCATTTTGACATTCTTTCGCAATCCTTTCGCAATCCTTTGGCAATCCTTTTGACATCCTTTTGCAATCCTTTTGCAATCCTTTTGACATCCTTTAGCAATCCTTTTGCATTTCTTTTGCAATCCTTTTGCAATCCTTTTGGCATCCTTTTGCAATCCTTTTGACATCCTTTCGCAAACCTTTCGCAATCCTTTTGACATCCTTTTGCAATCCTTAGGCAATCCTTTTGACATCCTTTTGCAACCGTTTTGTAATCCTTTTGCAATCCTTTTGACATCCTTTTGCAATGCTTTTGACATCCTTTTGCAATCCTTTTGCAATCCTATTGCAATCCTTTTGACATCCTTTTGCAATCCTTTTGACATCCTTTCGCACTCCTTTCGCAATCATTTTGCACCCCTTTTGTAATCCTTTTGCTATCCTTTTGCAAATCCTTTTGCAATCCTTTTGACATCCTTTTGCAATCCTTTTGCAATCCTTTCGCAATCCTTTTGCAATCCGTCCGACATCCTTTTGACATCATTTGCACTGCTTTTGACATCCTTTTGCAATCCTTGTGCAATTCTGTTGCATTCCTTTTGCCAATCTTTTGACATCCTTTGGCAATCCCTTTGGAATCCTTTTGACATCGTTTTGCAATCCTTTCGCAATCCTATCGACACCTTTTGAAACCATTTTGACATCCTTTTGCAATCCTTGCGCAGTCTTTTGACATCACTTTGCAATCCTTTTGACATCCTTTTGCAATCTTGTTGACATCCTTTCACAATCCTTTTGACATCCTTTTGCGATCCTTTTGCAATCCTTTTGACATCCATTTGCAATCCTTTTGCATTCCTTTTGCGGCCCTTTTGCAATCCTGTTGTCATCCTTTCGCACTCCTTTTGCATTCGCAAACCTTTTCACATCCTTTTGCAATCTTTTGCAATCCTTTTGACATTCTTTAGCAATCCATTTTGCAATCCTCTTGCCACCCTTTCGCAATCCTTTTGCAATCCTTTTGCAATCTTCCGACATCCATTTGCACTGCTTTTGACATGCTTTTGACATGCTTTTGCAATCCTTTTGCAATCCTTTTGCAATCCTTGTTCAATCCTTTTGCAGTCCTTTTGCAATCCATTTGCAATCCTTTTGACATCCTTTCACAATCCTTTTGACATCCTTTTGCAATCTTTTGCAATCCTTTTGACATTCTTTAGCAATCCATTTTGCAATCCTCTTGCCACCCTTTCGCAATCCTTTCGCAATCCTTTTGCAATCCTTTTGCAATCTTCCGACATCCATTTGCACTGCTTTTGACATGCTTTTGCAATCCTTTTGCAATCCTTTTGCGATCCTTGTTCAATCCTTTTGCAGTCCTTTTGCAATCCATTTGCAATCCTTTTGACATCCTTTCACAATCCTTTTGACATCCTTTTGCAATCCTTTTGCAATGCTTTTGACATCCTTTTGCAATCCCTTTGCAATCCTTTTGACATCCTTTTGCAATCCTTTTGCACCCCTTTCGACACCCTTTGGCAATCCTTTTGCAATCCATTTGACATCCTTTCGCACTCCTGTCGCAATCCTTTTGCAATCCTTTTTGCAATCCTTTTGACATCCTTTTGCACTCCTTTTGCAATCCTTTTGACATCCTTTTGCGATCCTTTTGACATCCTTTTGCAATCCTTTTGCAATCCCTTTCCAATCCTTCAGACATCCTTGCAATCCTTTTGCGCTCCTTTTGACATCCCTTTGACATCCTTGTGCGTTCTCTTTGCAATCCTTTTGACATCCTTTTGACATCCTTTTGCAATCCTTTTAGCATCCGTTTGCAATCCTTTTGCAATCCTTTTGCAATCCTTTCGCACTCCTTTTGACATCCTTTTGCAATCCTTTTGCAACCCTTTTGCAATCCTTTTGACATCCTTTTGCGATCCTTTTGACATCCTTTTGCAATCCTTTGTTCAAACCTTTTGCACTTGCAATCCTTTTGACACCTTTCGCAACCCTTTTGCGATCCTTTGGCAATCCTTTTGCAATCCTTTTGCGATCTCTGAGATTTTTTTCGGAATGCTTTGGAATCTGTTCTCCACAAGCTGAAGCTGCAAGGCCTGTCGATGTCTATAGGATTGGCCGCCTCCACAACCTCAGCAATGGCGGCGATCGCCTTAGAGGTGTTTTACGACTGCATAGTTTGCATGGTGTCAGACGAGTCCAGGCCGAGAACATCAACTTGTTTCCAGACCATAGTACTGAGTTTGCTGTTGCTTCATGTTGCTTCCAAGTGGAACAAACTCCACAGACCCCAACTCTCTAACCCCACCAGTAGAGGAGCATTTCACTTCCAAAAAAATGTCAGCAATTCTCCTTCCAGTTCTACAGAACCCGATCACATCTGGAAACCGGGGCCCTGAAGGGAAAGGAAAGATAGACATAATATGAAAACATATAGTCTATAAGCGTGTATATATATATATATAATGTAGTGTATACAAGTAGTTTATGTATATCACATGTATATCATATGTAAATAAAATATAAATTGAATATGTATATAATTTGCAAAATATGTAGATAATATGTATATATATAATTGCAATTAGTGTGTATATATTTGATATGTATGTAATTTGTATCTAATATGTATATAATATGCAACTAGTATGTAAATAATAATTATGTAATATGTACGTAATATGTCTCTAATATGTATAATATGCATTTAATATATATATATATATATATATTCCAAGGAAGTTTAGAAGTCAAACTTCCGACAATATGGACAGATGAAAAGCAGAGATGGGAAGAGTCAGAGAAGAGAAGAGAAGAGAAGAAGAAAGAAGATCAAAGAAGAGAAAGTCAGAAGAAAGAAGATGCAGGTGCGCAAAAAGTTAGGACAGTCGCGAAACACTGCGTTTTTCCAATGATTTGTGGCTCCGGAGGGTCGAAAAGTAGGCTCGCTAAAGCGGCGGGTGTGGAGCCATCTGGCCAGATGAGAGATGAAAAGTTCAACGCCGTTGTGGTGGGAAGCACCTTTCCAAGTCAAAATGTACAAAGCACACCATTCTCGGACCACTTTTGGAAGTGGAGATGTCGAAAAAGTGCCTGCCGTTGTGGCGCGAAGCACATTTCGAAGTCAAAAGTGTAAAAAACAGACGGGTTCAGAGCACTCTTTGAAGTTGAGATGTCGAAAGTGCACGCTGTTGTGGCGCGAAGCACCTTTCCAAGTCAAAATGTACAAAACACACCATGCTCGGACCACTTTTGGAAGTGGCGATGTCGAAAAAGTGCCCGCCGTTGTGGCGCGAAGCACATTTCGAAGTCAAAAGTGTAAAAAACTGACGGGTTCAGAGCACTCTTTGAAGTTGAGATGTCGAAAGTGCACGCCGTTGTGGCGCGAAGCACCTTTCCAAGTCAAAATGTACAAAACACACCATGCTCGGACCACTTTTGGAAGTTGAGATGTCGAAAAAGTGCCCGTCGTTGTGGCGCGAAGCACATTTCGAAGTCAAAAGTGTAAAAAACAGACGGGTTCAGAGCACTCTTGGAAGTTGAGATGTCGAAAGTGCACGCTGTTGTGGTGCGAAGCACATTTCGAAGTCAAAATCTACAAAACACCACATGTACGCGCCACTTTGGACGTTGAAGCGTTGTTTTTGCGTGGCAGGCGCAAGGGACATTTGAAGAGGATCTGCCAAGATGCATTTTCCGTGGCAGGCGCAATACAAGAGACATGTTCATCAGAGCTGTTAAGAGGTCCGGGCGCTGATTTCCTGAGAGACGTTGCATTTTGGAGCATCAGATCTTCAGTTTTGGGAAGATGATTTTGCGTGACAGGTGCAGCACTTTGTATAACATGGTATCACTTTTTCGTGGCAGGCGCAGTACTTTGGACACGTGGAGTGGAAAAATCGCAAAACGCATTGGTACGAGGCCGTCAGCTCTGCACTCAACTTTCCATTTTTGAAGGAAGTCTCGCAGAATTGTTTCGATTTTGATGTTGTCAACTTCGAAAATTGAGGAAGTCTCGCAGAATTGTTTCGTTTTTGACGCTGTCAAGTTCAAAAATTGAGGAAGTCTCGTAGAATTGTCTCATTTTTGACATTGTCAAGTTCAAAATTGATGAAGTCTCGCAGACTTGTTTCGTTTTTGACGTTGTCAAGTTCAAAATTGATGAAGTCTCGCAGATTTGTTTCGTTTTTGACGTTGTCAAGTTCAAAAATTGAGGAAGTCTAGCAGGATAGCTTCATTCTCAAGCTTGCAGATAGACAGATAGACAGATAGACAACTTTGTTGCTAGTTTGCACATTTCTCTTGACTTGACTCAGGGCACACCAGATGCAAGGCCTTTCTCGAAGCGGGGTCGACCGATGTGAAATCCTATCAAGAGGAAAAACAAAAAGCAACGGCTCGTAATCACACTCACCAAACATCTTGGACATCACTCACAACGGCACTTTGCCTGAGTGTGTGAGCTCGTGTGCAGGTCTCTCCCGGATGACTGTTCCTTGGTGCGGGCGGGGGGGCTTTCTCATGCCCAACCACATCGGTGGGCCCCCCCACCCTTCCCTTGGAAAGAGAAATGCGGCGTGATCACATTGATGCACTCTGCACTTGCAACAAGGTCATCACTTCATGCTTGCGTTTCTGATCTTGTTGCTAGTTTGCACATTTCTCTTGACTTGACTGAGGGCACACCAGATGCAAGGCCTTTCTCGAAGCGGGGTCGACCGATGTGAAATCCTATCAAGAGGAAAAACAAAAAGCAACGGCTCGTAATCACACTCACCAAACATCTTGGACATCACTCACAACGGCACTTTGCCTGAGTGTGTGAGCTCGTGTGCAGGTCTCTCCCACTTTCACACACGTGCGTCAGTCAGCCAAGTTGAGACGTCATGCCAAGGGATTTCCAACTGGGTGAATCCGTTCGAGACCAAATGGGATATTTCATGCCTAGATGGTGCATCTGCCGGATTTGATGCAGATGGCACTCTACACATCCACAAGTGCAAAGAACTAGATGCTGCAAAACGGCAAAGAAACCTCAGAAGACGACTATGTACATCTATTGAAGAATTCATGGCGATGAGACTAGCTCTAGCAGCTTCGTTATCTACATACAGAAACGCTCTACCATCAGGGTGCCGGCCCTTCAGAAGATGGAGCGCTACAACTCCCGCAAGAAGTTCTAAGCCAGCAATCACTTTGCGTGTAGTCCCCTGCATAGGTTCCAGAATGTGACAAGGGACGGTGCCGGAGAAGAAATACGATTGAGTAACCTTCCCCTTCACCGCCCAGTAGGCAACCATACCAAGGGATCCCACTGTGTCATCACCTTCTAGCGCAGCATCAGTGAAAATGACAAGCTTCCTGTCGGACATATGTGCATGGAGAAGACGGGGGTGGTCCAACTGCAAAAACTCCAACGCCCAATCCAACTCGCCTAACATTTCAGGGGTTACATGTTTGCCAGCTTTGTTTCCACACGCTCTTTGTCTAATCTGTTTCATATGCAGCGAGACGGCACGTCCATATGTCTGGCTCTCGGCGAACTGCATCTTTCCCGCAAAAGTGGCAGCTGCAGCCGCGGTTCACTGTGACTCACGCCGAAACTTTCGAATGTCCGACACCAGCTGCTCGACTCTAGAAGTTTTGTTGGCCACCTTGACAACTCCAAAACTGGCACGGCTAAAATCAAATTTCACTCCCAGTGCGTAGAAAGTGACGGCCAGACCCAAGCGCTTGCTGTCCTTCCTTGAAAAACGCCAGCCAATTAACGTCAGAAATCTCTCAGCAGTGCGTTGCGCCCAGTCGTTGTCAGCTAAAACATCTATTTGAGGAAAATCATCATAGTAGTTGTTCCATACAAGCCCAAACAGGGAAGTGCCGACCCTCCTGATAGCTCGTGCTATTTTGTTGAACCCAAATACGCTGGCAGACGCGCCAAACGGCAAAACTTGAGACACGAACAGTCGTCGTTCCCCATGCTCGTCTTCCACCGCCAGTACATTGCACCACAAAGACGACTTAGCAACCAGTACTTGCTTGTATGCGGCATCGAGATCAAGAGTCCTGCCACCTATTGATCTAGCCGACTCCACCGTAAAGTCGCCGTGCAGTTGACCAACAAGCCTGCTACCATCCTTCAAGGTAACCGAAACGACACCATCATCACTAGTGGCTTCCACAAAGGTGCGAGCCAAAACGCTAATGCCATCCACTCCCTCCAAATCAAGCTTGTAACTGGAACCATACGCAGCATTCACCAGGCTTTCTGACATGTTGTCGATCTGCCGAACCTTGTCGGTCTGGACTAAGCCGAACCTTTTGGAGCAAACAAACAAAGGACCTAGCATGTTCCTCACTTGGGACTCATCAAAAGGGCCTTGTAGCCAGCCACGCTCCACCTCCTCCATAGTTATTTTCCAGACTGCAGATCTAACATCTGGGTCTGGGCTCTCTGCTGTCTTCTTCATGATCATCTTTCGCGACCACTTTGAGGATTTCATAAGCTGCCGCTCTGTCAAGGCAGGTTTCAAGGGCTCTGGCCTGAACAATTGAGTAGGCCCATCAACGCCTGTCAGAGGCACACCTCGTAGCTGTAAAAGGCGCAGATCTTCACCAATGATTCCCACATCTCTGCACATTTCTTCAAACAACAAAAACCTCTTGCCGTCAACAATTTGACTTCTGGCATGATCCAACTGGTCATGAAGGAGGGACTCATCATGTTGCAAAACTTCTGCTCGTTGTTCATAGTAGTCAAGCAGAACGTCAGTTCGTTGCTGCCTTGCCAGAACACCTTCTGTCAATAGTTTGAAAATATTGACTTTGGTGTCGTCGTCCACTCCGGAGGAGTCATCAAAAGGATGCCCAATTTGCAACGCTCTGTCCACAAATTGCTCCGGCTTCCTCCAAACGCCTACTTCAATTTCCCGCATTGCATCTACAGTTACTCCATTGGCCACACCCCTTTTCTCCTGGAGGAACTTGGCAGGGAATGGTATGTTGAGAGCTTCGCATTGGTCGCGTGTGAGTTTCTTATCCTTGGTGACCAAAAAGGTGCCAGCTACAGTTTTCCAAATAGTGTAGGCAAACTCTGTAATGAGGCTTGGGAACCGATCACCGCGGGGCTGCTTACCCGCAGCTGCCATTATGACTGGCACAGTTTTGGCTTGTTTGAGGCCTGGTCCAACACTGACATCTTGCACGTTGCAGTTACGGGCCATGTTGCGCACGATACTTGCAACTTTGTCACAAAGTACAGAGGGATACGCATCAGCAGGTGCACACCTCCAAGTATTAGGAACTTCTGTCACGTTCCACTTCAGGTGGTCGTGATTTCCATCGCATGTGGCCTCCAGAATGTCCAAATCGGACACGGAGGCGTACCACGAAGACCATTGATCCCTTTTGCCGCCCCGCATGCATTTCTGAAAAGAGACCTCATGCAGGAGACCTTCGTCAATGAGGGATTTGAAGTAAGTGGTGGACCACAAAAAAGATTTCTTGAGGTTCTCCACCGTGACGGCAGTGCCATGTTGAAGTGCCACCCGAACCAGCGCCGCAATGGTGGAAAAAATTTGATTGGCTTTTGTCACACGCAGCTTGTCGCATCCGCTTAGCCCCGGCAGGCCATGTGGGTATGCAGAGCTGCGCAGCGGTTTAGGTGCACGAGCGCCATGCTGGCGCGCCTTCTTGGGCAACTTCTTCTCCTTGGCATTTTTCACCGTGCTGTCCGGTGGCGCGCAGTGAAGGTACAGCACAGCCCCAGTCTTCAGAAGGTCATACACAAACTGGTATCCTTCTTCATTAGAGAGGTCAACGCTGATACATGCATGAAACTGGTGTCTCCTTTTGACATGGTCGACTGCCACGGCTTTGAAGCCTAAGGCTGCCAAAGAATATGACAATCGAGCTGATCCTGCACATAATTCTATGGTGTAAACTGAAGAGATGGGGCTTCCCGCAACGCATTCGGGATGCTTCCTCTTCTTTGTGGACCCGAAATCGGGTCAAGCTCCAGTCTTGCCATGCTCCCGCTGGGAATGGGGTTGTTGACATCCCCACTTGGTGCACAAATGCCACCCCTTTGCGCAGCGCTGTCCTGCGGCAGCCTTACTGCACCCATTGCAATTGTAACTGAAGCACAGCGGCTCGTTTGCCGCGGTGACTGCTGTTTGCCCCAGCAGCTCCTGTGGCATTTTGATAGAACTGGAGCTCCGTGCGCCTTGCCCCTTGCCTTTGCCCTTTCCTTTTCTCATGTTTTTCAACTGTCCTTCGAGGTTCTGAATCTGCCTCCGAAGTTTTTCTTCCCCAGAGGACTGATTTTGCTTCTTCTTCTTCTCATTGTCCAAGTTCTCTTCTGCCTCAGCTTTCCTTTTCACGGAAGAGCTTCCCTGAAGAGGCTGCAAGTGCAGTCGAATTTCAGGCGCCGACATAGCTTTGGCGAGTGCGTCTTCCAACGGCACTGAGGTGCCAATAGGTCGAATGCCGTTCCTCGTCTCCTTCATCAGAAATTTGAAAAGCTCCATGTCGGCATGGTGCACCTGTTCGATCGAAACTTTGTTGTACCCAGCAGGGGGGCTTGCTGTGTATGCTTCAAGGAGCACTTGTGACCATCGCTCAAACTTGTCAAAGTCTACTAACCTAGCCTGGTCAAAAGCTAGGCTCCTCCGCTGAAGCGCGTATTTGAGCTTGAGGTCGGAGGAGATGTCGGCTTTGACTTCTTCTTGAACTCGGACTTCGCGAACTATGCCCCCACTGTCGGGCTTCCATGTGGGGTCAGATTTCAATCCCATGAGCTCTTGATCTCTCTTTGTGCATTGATCCCACCTCACATATCTCAATTGGTTGTCCTCACTCATCTGGAAAACCAAATCAATGAGTAGGTGAGACGGCTCCATTTCACCTGTCAGTTCTAATCCCCTCAGGTGGCTGACCTGCGAATCGTGCCTTGCTGCACGCTCTGCCTGAGCCAGCCTTCGAGGTGTATCATCCTCCCGCCTTTCAGATCTCATTTTGAGGTCGGAGGCTGCTAATGTGTAGGATTCAAACACAAGCCGACGTATGAGAGGCAACTGAGTCAAAGGCGGAGGACTGACTTCTGTGATCTGTTCGGCAAGGGTGATTAAAGGAGACTCGTCCACTTGACCAGGACGGTAGCTACTTGCGAATGCAAGTTTGCCAAAGGTGTTCCATCCCAGCACATCCAGCCTCGCGAGAGTGGCTTCATCTAGGCCAATCTCCAGGGCTCGATTTTTGAAGACTGCCACAGAGTCTAACATCTTAGTCTTCAACTTCGCGCTCGATCCACAACTCAGGCAACGGTCAAGCGGACACTTCCCTCAACTGGCTCAACATACGCGAGTGCAATTTCAGATTAGCGAACTTTATCTTTTCATCCAGAACACGAGAAACGGAGTATCATAAAGAACAGTCAGTTGCCAGCAGAAAAAAAAATAACAAAACGCAAAACAAAAACAGGACATCCATGTCTGCAGTGATACATCATCACAGCACATGACATGTTAAGCTGGGCTTGCCTTCTCCATCCTGTTGAGCTCTGCTCTGGACTTCCCAGAGATCGTTGCGGCCTCACACAACTTCTGTGTGGAACATAGACAAAACATTTTGCAAGCAGCATTCGGCACATGCATCCGCAAACCAAAGTGCCAACATTTGAATGCCAGAACTTGCAAAAGCCGCATACCGTATTTTTCATCTCACAGCAAGTCACCTGCCCCAACAGACACGACACTTCGGCCATGCATGCTCGGGGTCTTTTCTAAAGATGGAGAAGGAACTACTTATCATCCTGCCACAGCTCGTCTTGTGCATGTCTTCGACATGCGCATAGTGCAACATCTTAGTCCTTACATGCCTGAAAGTTCTGGTAATGTCTGCATTCACGTTGACATTTGCATAGCGATCGGCCGCCAGCTCGCGGTCCACTACTGCCATGCCACTCTCTGCAGAGGTGCTGCCAGAATCACTTGAAGAGTCACTGTCGTCTTCATCATCCGAACTTTCAGGAACAGGATAGGTGTCTGCTTCATGACAAGGCTTGTCTAGATCCTGTTCGATACCCGCGGCTAAAGTTTCCAAGTTAGCACAGAAACTCTCATGGTCCAAAGCCTCAGGACCTCTGCCCTGCGCTACGCCAGCTATGGATCTGGCCGCTGTTTCAACTGTAATGCCTAGGCTTTTCTCAAATTGTTGGCGAACACTGATCGCTGAGGCAGCAGAAACAAATTGTTCATCTCTGGCTGCGAAAGGGACAAACAGTCCCCTCTTTACGCTTCCCAACATGGTGGCCATGGCTCTGATCGGGCTTGCCAGCGCATCCCGCGAATAATTGAGCGCGGATGCATGCCCCTTCACCACATGATAGCCCAACAATTCGTTTTGTTCCAAGGTAAGTCCAAAAATGTTTGTATATGTCAGCAATGTGCATTTCAAACTGTGCGACGTGTAATGTTGAAAAGCCTCAGTTGGCAGCAGCTTCGCAAGGCACTCCCCTAGACGCTCTGTCATCTCAGCAGATCCAATGCGTTCCTGCTCCGAAGCTAGCACGGTGGATTGAGAGGGAAAAAGAACGAAATCATTATCAGTAGTCACAGGAGGTTCGTCAGGAATTGCGTCCAGACCCAAGGCATCACGCGCGTTCACAAACTGAGAAAACCAATCAACGCCCATGATTCCTTTGACAGGAATTATGACTGGCAAGAAACGCGTCTGCTTTTCCAAAGTGCGAGCAGTCTTGATACGGCACAAACAACCTTCAAAATAATTGCCGATAACTCTTCCATGGCTCACACGGTTGCAATCGCTTGCACGCAAGCGACCGTAGAGTGCAAAAAGACATAGGCATGCGCACCCTTTCACATAGGGGTCTTCCACAAACAAAGCACAAAGCTCTAAAACAGCAATTGCGATCACATCTAAAGGGGGAGCTTGACGCAGTACGCGCTTGCGAAGGAAACACAGGTGAGCTGCTCCTTGAACTCGCTGTGATGCAGCAGCTTCCCCGGCTCCTCGCCATCCAAATAGGCTCTCCACAAATGCAAGCGTGGAGAGAAATGTTTGAGCTCGTGTGGGAGGCTTCTGTGAGCTCCTCAGTGAATCTATGTATTGATAAACTAAGCTTTCATCAACAGGCACAGCGGGTGCGTCAGAAGTCTTCTTGCAGTAACTGATGTACATCGCGAACGACCCAGCTCTCAACTTCAGAGTAGAGGTGGGTTTCTTTGCCACCCAATCAGTTATCAATTGCAAGCTTTTATCATGGCTCTCATCTTTTGTCGATTCTGATAGAAGCAAACGCCTAATCGTCGATTCTTCAGGATACATCAAAACAAGATCCATCCATTTTGCGATAACTACCTGGCGACTGGCATCATGTCCAAAATTCTTCTGATCGTAGAAACGTTTTCTGACTACTTGTACCTTGTCTTGCACCGATGATGTAAAACTCAACACAGGCACTTGTGTAGGAGGCAAATCGCGAGGAATCAGCAAGGGTGAAAGCCATGGCATAGCGGTCGGACCTTCGAGTCCCAAAACATCTTTGAGAAACCCTTCATCCCAAGGTAACATAGGTGAACACGCAAAAGTGTTACCTGAATTCAAAGCAACCTCTAGTGATCGATCAACAACATTGGAAAGAGAGGGTCCACTAGAGGAAGAAGGCACATTGCCCAGGTTCACATCATCAATTCCCCTCTTCTTTCTCATGCCCAACCACATCGGTGGGCCCCCCCACCCTTCCCTTGGAAAGAGAAATGCGGCGTGATCACATTGATGCACTCTGCACTTGCAACAAGGTCATCACTTCATGCTTGCGTTTCTGATCACAACTGCAACTACAACTACAAGTACCACTACACTGCACTACTACTACAACTACAAGTACAATTTACTACGCTACATTACACAAGACTAGTTACAATTACTTACACAATTTACTACGCTACGCTAATTGCATCTACTTACACTACACCACACTATTACACTACAACTACTACAACAGGGACTACTACTACTACTACTACTACTACTACTACTACTACTACTACTACTACTACGACTACGACGACGACGACGACGACGACGACGACTACGACCACCACCACCACCACCACCACTACTACTAACACCACCACCACCACAGCTACAATTGCAGCTACACTACATTACACTACAATACACTAATTAAACTGCAGTACATTACAGCTACAAATACAAATACAACTACACTACATTACACAACACCGCATTACACTAATTACATTACATTACACTACAACTGCAACTGCAACTACATTGCACTACACGAAGCCACACTACAACTACAACTGCACTACTTTACACTACAATACACTAGACTACACTACACTATACCACGCTACAGTACGCAACACTAAAGTACGCTACAATACACTACGCTAATTACACCACACCACAACTACAACTGCAACTGCAACCACACAGAACTAATTACACTAAATAGACTGCACTACAACTCTTATAACTACAACTTACAACTACAACTCCACTACACTACAATTACAACTACACCTGCACTACACCACACTACATCCGGCAGTTGTGGTGAGGTGACCACTGCAACCATTGCAACCGCTCCAGAAAACACAGCTCCAACCACCTTTCGGTCCATCAGTGGATTCGCTCTGCCATCCGTGAGTCACAACAATCAACTTTCCTATAGGTTTCCTATTTTTGAAACTTCCGCCACCGCCTTGTGCGGTACTACTGGTACGTGTATATATGTATACATATATGTTCATATTACACATGTTTCTTGCGCATACATACACTGGATGAATAGTTATGTGTCTAAATATATATATATACACACTCAAACCACATCCAGGATTCTTGGAAGCCTGCCAAGAGCCAGCAAATCTCCACAGCATACCAAACGCAGCCCTGTGAAGAGTTTCGGATCCACGGCTAAGCTTCCAACTGCGGTCACAGGTTTCCCATTCCGTCCACGCCTGCCAAACGAGACCAGCTCTTGGAGCATATGAACTGCTTCCTGGACCCAACTGACTAGGAATTATTCGGATTGAAATACAAAGATATATGCAAAGATATGCACATATATGCAAAGGTGACACTAGTGCAGATTCACTACCAGCTCCATGATTTGTATGGTTTGTATGAGTATGAAAAACATTGGTTTTACGCAGTGAATGAGCTTCTCCGACTGAGCTTCCATGGCGCCAGTCATAGATAGTCACAGAATGTCACATAGTCGGAGGTACCATCGTAGGTACCACTACCAGTCTCAGGCTCATGCTGAAACAACACAGTCAGTTTTGACTGGCGGTGTGCTTTGAATCTCCTCCAAAGGGCCAGTGCCTTGCAAAAATTGGAAGGCGACGATATGAAGATAACAAGGCTCACCGGTGATCAGTGATACACCTATCTTACAACGGGCGCCGTGCACAAAATATGTATAATATTCTGTATGTCCTCATGCCAGATGCATCCAGGAAGTCATCCAGCAATCTGCAAAATGAACTGAGTGCATCAAATCATGAAGGCTGAGTGAATTGCAGGGAATACCGCCGTGCAAAGACATCTGCACAATCTTTCTCATCCGCTTCATCTGGTTGTGGCCGTCCTTATGGTTGACGGGCCAAGAACTCAAAGAAGAATTGAAAACGAGCAAAAGATTGGTTTCTATTGATTTAAGTACCGGCAATGCACAGATGCAGCGTGCACTTGACCTTTAATCTTGGCGCGCGGAGTTGCTCAGGGACCAGCAGGATCTGACCACGGGCCCCATGGGCCGAACCTGGGGTGGTGAATTTGGGGAGTCCGACATTCTGAGTATCGTAAGAAAGTGAATGGAAAGAGACGGATTCTGGGGCCGGAGCTCGCAATTTACTTTCTCATACCCGGGACAAATCTGGCACAAGGTATGGTTTCAGCTCCACAGTGCGGGGGGAGGAGAACGCAATTGACTATATAAATCAAATCAAACAAGTTTTCATTGCAAAAGGGAGCGCGTGGTTCCAAAGCAATTTTGGGTGAACTTATGAAATGCCTCTGGCCCCTCCAGACAGCTGTCGATTTCGTTCAAACCTGCCAGGATTCAGAAGAATGACACTGGATTGCATAAAGAAGAGCAAAGCACCAAATTTATCGTATCTGTCAACGTGATAACCTTCCAGCGCTACCTGCCCCGTATCTGTGGTGCTCCAGAGCATGGTCAGACACGTGATATGGCAATGACGGGGTACATACTCGCAGGAGGAAGACAAGAAGGCACATGAAGCAGGCCGTGCAAACAACTCCACTATGTGTTTACTCTGGCCGTGCTGACGATGTCGATCTTCGATGCACAAGAAAAATGTGACTTGGTAGTGGTCCGCCCGCGCCGAAGGTGCCGAGGCGTGGTAGTTTAGCAGCAAGCGATATGGACAACAATTTGCCAGACTGGTACAGCTTCGGCTGGGGCTGCATTTTCGACCCAGCTGGCCGCCAAAAAGCAAATGAACCGTTTCGATCCAACATGGCCGCAACATGGGCTGCACCTGGGGTCAACTTCGGCCGGGCTCACTTGGCTCCAATTTCGGCCCAATTTGGCTCCAACATGGTGCAACTTTGCCCGCAACTAGGACCCTTCAAAATGGGGCACATGGTCAGCCCAATAGGAAATCGTCAAGACGCGTGCTTTCACTGGTATTTCCATCCCCCTTGAAATTCGCCCCGAGAGGATGGGCCCACCAAAGTGTAGGGTGCCCAGCCTACCCCCCTACAAAATGGTATGGGGACACCTACAAAATGGTAGCACCCATGGGGGTTGCTGCCTACAAAATGGTGGCACCAGGGTACCCCACCTGCCCACCAACATCAAGTATTTTGATGTATTTTGGGTTAACATAGTGTCCAAAAAATTGTGAAAAATGGGAGAACCATTTTGTAAGACACAAAGCAACCCTGTGGTCGCACCCTGGTCTTTTTTCGGCGACCAATTTGTAGACAATCTACTCTGAATGAAATTTCTTCTTAAAATCTCTCAAGCAATCCTTGCATATCTCACATTTTTGCATCTTGTGCATCTGGCAATCGGGTTTCATATATTTACATTTGTGGATGTATTTATCAACTCCCCTTACCAATCAACAAAATGGTATTCCACATCTTCTACAAAATGGAGGTGCCTGGCACTGGCATATGATCTTGTTCTCACATAAAATGATGTTGGGTGTGTATAAACAGGTCTCTTTCTACAAAATGGAGTGCCCCGACGGCAAAAAAAACATAAAATCTGATTTATAGGGGGCCCAAGGCCTACCATTTTAAATGGGAAATGTCAACGGGGATGTATTTCCCACGTTTTTTGGCATCGATGATGCTTCGGGTTGAGCAATGTTCTCCATCTTGTGTCTCCATCGGGCCCCAACTTGGTGTCGCCAAAGGGTCCCAATTTGCGCCACTGGAGGTGACTTGGGCTTCCATCTACATCACATGCTTTCAATTTGGGCCTGGGGTCCAAGAAGTCCTTTGGTGGGGGCCCGGGCCCAAGCTGGGCCCAACCCGGGCCAATTCTGAGGAACCAATGCGACACGCCGAAAACTTGCATTTTTACCCCAATTTCCAACGTTTTTTGGCTTTAATGAGGGTTGTTGCCCACATTTGGGCTTGTCTTGGGCCCAAATTCCGCGAGAAGCCCCCCAACTTGCGTCCGAACGTGCCCAGGATGCGCCATGTTGGGCTTAACCTGAGTTCGGCGCCAGTCACGCCCAAGTTGGGCCCAAGTTGGTTCCTGTTCGGCCCAACTTAAGGCCCCAGGCGCCTTTTGGCCCATTTCCTGTCTATCCAATTCTCTGGGTGCAGGCGATTCTCGTCGCGAAGCGACTCGAATATTGAAGGCGTATGAATTGATTTGATGCGAGAACTTTCTTTGCGCAGCAGGTCAGCCTGCCAGCGTCAAGGCCAAAACAATCCGTTCATGCGTGAGTAGCGTCGGGCAGCAGGGCGCCGGGGGCGCAAACATGTTCATGTAACAATTTGCATATGACGGTTTTGACGTCTACGCTTGTTCTTCAAATCGTTTGATGTTATGTCCTGATTTGCATGGGGGAGATAGCAGGGCGTAAAGACGTTCCTAGTTTCCTAGCAAGTTGCACGGGCCCGTGATGTTGGGGCCGCATGTACAAGGTTGCTATCCCAGATGTATCATCTTCTTGCTGTCCGTCGTTCGATCTTACCTTTGGGCGCGATCCCAAAAATCTTTTTGGTTTTGTCCAAAACAATGCCCCGGCTTTCCCAAGAACCCTTTGGCTCCGAACTGAGAACCTTCGTGCAAGGATAAAAGAGATTCACACTCGTATGCCAATATTCTCCATAGCAACACTCTATATCATATACAAATTTCTTTATCATTATCTATTTATCTATATATAATAATATATAATGATATATAATATATGGCCAGCGCAGGCAGGAGAGTAATAGATATTAAGAGACACTTGATGATAATTGCCAAATTGTCATAACTTGTGTGCCAGGCCGGCCCCTAAGGTGCCTCCTTTGCATTGTACTCCGCCTCCTGCTGCTAGCCGTACGATGGAACGTGACCGCTCCTGCCAGCGTAGATTCATTGATTGCTGAAGACCTTGAAGTTCAAGAGCCCCTTGGCAGGTGATGGAACTTGACGGGACTTGACAATTGTACAATTGTACAACTCACTCAATTGATAACAACAAAATTCAGTGAGTTGTAAGTTGTGGGTGGTAAGTGCGCCTTCCAGCCTCCTGCTCCTCCACAAGTACGACTGCAGGGCCCCCTCAGTGCATGGATCGCGTGTATTGATTTTGTACGTTATAGCAGCCAACATTGACACACCTCGTTGCAAAACAAACTTGCACAATAACCTTGACTTTACCTTGAGGCTCGTGCCACTGACCCCATGAAGACAATACACAGTCCACTTTCAGGTGGCTGTACTCACCTGTTCACGCTTTGCAAACCAACAAGCCTGATCAGGCTTGGAACAACTATCCAACAACATCAAACAGCTCGCTTGGCTTCGGACAAGCAATAGTTTCTTCCAATGCCCCAACCTGCGATCCATGCAGAAACAGAACGTGCAATCCCTTCTCACCCTAACACAACCTTGTGGAGGCCACTGAAAAGGAAGTCTTGCTGTGTTATTTGGGGGCAGACTCACAACTTTGACAAGTGAACTTACCCTCAGGGGAATGATGTGACATGATCCAATGTTTCGAGCTAGTCGAATTCCCAGTGAATGCAGTGCATGCAGCATACCTATTGCAAAAGACTGTACTGCACTGCAGTGTTACTTAGTCAAGAAGAGTTCGATCTGATGTGGATGTGGTGCGTCGTGTGACATGTCACAGCCGATGTCAAACTTGCAACTTTCACTTCCAAGTTCACGTTGCTCGGATTTGGGCACATCACTTCACATGGGTAGGGTGCAGGTGGGTTGATGCATGAATGGGTGCAGATTTTTCTTGGATTTTTTTTTTGGGGAGGGGGATGTTTTTTGTTTTTCTTTTCAGGGGCACTTTTCCTTGCTATTTGCTACATTTTGGAGCAAAAACCTCTACTTTGCTGAATTTTGGAGCTAAAATGTGCCATTTGCATTGTTCATCAATTTTTCCATGGTTTTAGCCGGTTTTTCCATGGTGTTCTTTCATCGATTTTTCCATTGTTTTCATTGAGTTTTCCATGGTTTCAATTCATTTTTCCCTGGTTTCGATCGATTATTCCATGCATAACATGCACCTGGTGAACATGTAGAATATAGGTTGAAACACAACCGTGTTGGATCTAAATAGTGGCATTGGATGCTATCATAGTGTTGGTTGGTTTAGGGTTTAGGGCTCATTTAAGGTTGGTTTAGGGCTGGTTTAGGATCATTTAGGATTGGTTAGGGTTGGTTTAGGGTTTATTTAGGTTTGGTTTAGGGTTTATTTGATGTTTGTTAGGCCTGCTAGGGTTTATTTAGGGTTGGTTTAATGTTTATTTAGGCTTGGTTTAGGGTTAGTTTAGGGTTTATTCAGAGTTGGCTTAAGGTTATTTAGGCTAGGGTTGGTTTAGGATTTATTTAGGGAGGGTTATGTTGGGTTGGTTTACGGTTGGTTTAGGGTAAATTAGGGTTATTTAGGGCTATCTATTGTTATTTAGGGTTGGTTTATGGTCGATTTAAAGTCTGTTGAGGGTTGGGCCAAGGTACGTGTAGGGATACAAGGTGTGTATTTAAAGAAAGATAGATAGATAGAAAGATAGAAAGATTAGATAGATTAGATAGATTAGATAGATTAGATAGATTAGATAGATTAGATAGATTAGATAGATTAGATAGATTAGATAGATTAGATAGATTAGATAGATTAGAAGATTAGATAGATTAGATAGATTAGATTTTTTTTTTAAGATATATTAGATAGATTGGATAGATTGAATAGATAAGATAGATAGGTGGATGGATGGATGGAATGATAGATACCTAGATAGATAGATAGATAGATAGACAGACAGACAGACAGATAAGATAGGATAAGATAAGATAAGGTAAGGTAAGGTAAGATAAAGTGGGATAAGATAAGATAAAGTGGGGAAAGATAAGATTAGATTAGATTAGATTAGTTTAGATGAGATTAGATATAGGTTGGATGAGATTAAATTAGATTAGATTAGGTTAGATTAGATTTAAGTTAGATTAGGTTAAATAGATAGATTAAATAGATAGATTCAATAAATAGATTGACTAGATTGATTAAATAGGTAGATTAAAAAGGTAGATAGATTAAACAAACAGATTAAATAGGCAGATTAAATAGACAGATTAAATAGGCAGATTAAATAGACAGATTCCATAGGTAGACTCAAGAGATAGGTTAAATAGATAGATCCAATAGACAGATTAAATAGAGAGATTCAATAGACAGATTAAATAGATAGGTTAGATAGATTAGATTAGACAGATTAGATTAGATAGATTAGATAGATTAGATAGATTTGATCGATTTGATAGATTAGATAGATTAGATGGGTTGGATAGGTGAGATAGATTAGATCGATTAGATCGATTAGATCGATTAGATAGATAAGATAAAACAAGATAAAACAAGATAAAATAAGATAAGATTAGAGTAGATTAGGTTAGATTAGATAGATAATTAGATAGATAGGTAAAGCATGGTAAAGCCACAAAAGCCACAAAAGCCACACACCCACAGAAGCCACAGAAGCCACAGAAGCCACAAAGCCAGGCTGGAAAACGGAAAAAAAAAACGAAAAAAATAGCCCTCCTGCATTAATCAAGGAAGAGCTTCGCGGAAAAGAAAGTTCAAACCTCTTCAAGAAGAAACAACATGTCAACATGATGACTTTGACACGTGTATGTATGAAACAATCGACACAATAGACTCCTGCTCTAACTCAGATAATGTGTCTCCTTGACAATTGTGTTCAAAATGTTCTGAATCAAGATGTTGAAAGTTGGCCATGCGTATCAGTGCGTATCTCAAAGATAGAAATCGGTCCCTCCAAGTGCACGAAACAGTAGCAAAACGCAAACGATGACCAAAAAAAATCAAAAACAAGTGGCTTATCTTGAAGACCCACAGGAACTTCCATCAAATTAAATTTCACAAAGAAATAGAGAAGGCCGGCAAAAAAAACTAGAAAATGATAATACAAAGCAAGCCCGGTATCGTTCCTCTACCCGGATGTCAAGCAATTTTTGTGAAAACATGCAAACTAGAAACAACTACGCTAGACAAAACACTGTGACAAATGTGATGCAAATTGCGGTGAAAGATTGAAAGTAGCTGGCGGAGTCACTTCGAATGAAACTGTACAGAATTACTTGTACTGATGTGTGCACGTACTATGCCCTGCACATAAATTGTGAAGCATGTCAAGTGGCAGGTAACAATTGCAGAAAACAACCAAACATGTGAATACGCACACTGAAGCACTAGCACCCCACATGGCTACAAAATGCAACAAACCACAAAAAAACTAAAGCCCTGGCAGCTGCAGACCTCGAAATTTGTGCGATGTGGTTCTTGAACCATCTTGAACTCTTATTTTGTACAAATACATGTTGCATACTTCCCTCAAATACATGGCGCCTCTACAAGAAGGGTATCGTGTTCCTTCTCGAAGCACGAACACGCCTAACCTCTATATAACATTTTGTTCGTGACCTGTACACCGACAAATAATGACATTTATTAAGTTCGACTTCTGTCCTATATGTGACACACTAACCTATTGGCTGTAATAAGCTACCCTATTCACAAGGTAAAAAATATTTGGTAGGAAGTATGTGATCTCCCTTTTTGTGGTGGAATTTCAACAGGGGTCAAGATTTAAAAAACATCATGATGCAATATGATTGAATGCAATTTATTGTGATACCAATCATGTGAAAAAGCAGAATCAGCTTCATATTGTTGGAAGTAACAGTAGCACAAGCTTCCAAGCAAGGCACCATGGAAAGCTACATAAATAAAAATTATGTTACACATTCTACCTACCACCATGAGTGATGTGCAAAGTATTATGCTCACCAGCAGCATCAAGTCAAATGACATCGAATCCTTTGAGTGATCTAAAGCATCGAAAGCTTGCATTGGCACAGTGAAGACCGACTTCGCCGATATGCATGTCTACATCTGCGACCTGATAGAGCCTGCCATGTCAAATCTATCGGGACGTGTCATATCACTTTCAGGACAAACATACAGCCGCTGCCCTTACCGTTTTACACCTGCATGAACCTCGCGAAGTGGGTCGTTTTGCAGGGCTGTCATATGGCATCATGCTATCGGAGAGATCAGGTTTGGGATACGGAGGGGTGGCAGGGACTTTGCAGGTCGGACGTTGCGTGAGCCGGATGCGAACAAGCTCGGTGGAAAGCGCTTGCTGAAAGCTTGCTGAACACCAAAAAAACAGTTATTCAAAGTTCAACAAATTCCCTCTGTGTTGCAGGACTTGGACTTGCACACATGCGAGGCCATCATTTTCAGGCTGCTGCACCTCTGCTGCAAGCTACTTCGTATACCGTGCCCACACTCAAAGCGACAGAGGATGACAAATATATCAGTCTGAGGAATATGAGGAATATGAGGAATATGAGGAATATACTACGTCATGACGCCAATAAATTCATGAACTCGTGAACTCACGACGGTATGCGAGGATAAAAGTAGGTTTCTGGCAATCGTGCGCGAGCGGCTTCGTTGGGATTGCGACTGGAATGGTGGACACTGGCTCCTGCGTGACGAGATGTGAAGAAAGGACAAGAGCAAGGCTGAGCACGTCAATGATGTCAGAAATAAGCCAGGCCGGGAAAGGCTTTGAGTCCCTGGCCATTCACTCCAGGCACTGAACTCGCAGTCTTTTGGCTTGTCGCACCTCATGTAGCTACACTTTACGAATGTAATACTTATGACTTATGATATTTATGGTCTCAAGATCGTTCAAACAACACAATGGCATCCAACTTTGTCTCAGAATCTGGACTCGACGGAACACTTCTTTGTGCTCAGCAAAGGCCCAGTGCCTGAGAGAAAAGATCAACTAATCCGTAGCCAGTAGAGCTCAGTATGGTCTAATGTCTGGTGCACGGCGACCCTTGCTCTGGTCTCAGCTCTTGACATGGATCACCACACTCATTATTTGTCACCTCCTGGGCACGGCAAGGTACGGCAAAAACTATGCATGCAGTTCCAGCATCCCAAAACAATGGAATTCCAGGCTACCAGCAATGGTTCGCTGTCGCTCACAAAGACCAACACACGTTGGCTCATGCCTCATACATTTCATACCATTGGAGTCATTGGAGAAAGCAATTGCATCAATGGTGGGACAGAAAAAAGATTCGAAATAAAGCGAAATAAATGAATCACAGTGACGACCCGCGACATGGGATCTGACCACTCGCCCCAGGCGCTGAATGCGCAGTTTCTCGGCTCCTCGTTGAAACGTGTTCCACCGCGTTCCAACAACGGAGAGGAGGTGACTCTTCTCTGGACATGGAGAGC